TTGTCCTATCATGTTCACCCTCTGTTGGGTCATCTTTCTGTGTAATGGGTGCAAATATGGATCTCTTCCTGTCCGTTGGGCAAGTGGCCGTACATTTCTTTGATCAGTTAAACATTCTTGAAACACATCGAAGAGGGGGAACTAGCTTTCCCACCGCAATCGCTGAACCCCTTCATTGCTTAGTCATAATTGCCCCACTCATCAGGGCAGAGGCTTTCACATGCCGCCCCGTTATTCGCTCTTTCCCCTTTACAATGGTCCCAATCATTGACCCCTTGTAGCCTACTGCTTTCCCAGGAGTCAACGGCATCTCACCCTCTCTACTCGCTTTATTATTTCGACTCTGTTTTCCATTGCGGTCACTGTCCTTTGCTTTGGTGAGTCTCCAGCGCTTGCATCAGAGCCATGCGTAGGAGGCACAGTTACCCAGGTAAAGAAGAGGGGAAATTAAAGCCAACTGCAAAGCCACACTCAACAAAGGCAGCTGCAACAGGGTCCGACTTCAATGGCAGGCCGTGTTCTTCCTTAAAGACAAACTGCTGTGACAGTACCAGGTTTCCGTGAGCACCACAAAGCACTGCGTGCACCTACGATCAAGCACTGTTGTCTTCAACTCACGTTTGTTAACCCGAGAGACTTGACGGCAATCCCTTCTTCTACACAAGTTGTCCCTCTGTCGGCCCTTCTCAACCCAGGGACTTCATATAAGTCTCCCACGACTCTCGGAGGTGAGTATTGTTGCTATTGTTCCCACGTTCAAGGTGTTCGCTCACTGCCATCGAGGCATGGCTGAGTCGTAGTGGGGTCCTGAGACTGGAACACCTTACGGGAGTAGAAAGCCCAGTCTTTCTCCCGCCGAGCTGCTGGTGGCTTCACACTGCTGACTATTCGGATCACAGCTCAAGGCATGATCACTGCAAATGCTGTGTCCAAGAGCACCCGTCTAGTTAGGGATAGGCCCGGGACTCAGCCAGCCAAGCCAGGCTCACCTACAACCTGAGTTCTGGGCCTCTCAAGAACCTTTAGCTTGGTTATTCCCAGCCCAGTTATTTCTCCATGCCACTGGGCTACTTTCCCTCATGGGCTGACCTCAAGGGAGGCAACCAGACTTCCCCCCGTACCTGCTAGATGCTTTCAATGCAAAACGGACACACTGATGAAATGCATCATCAGAAATTCATGCTCAGTGTAACTTTATATATATGTATATGTATGTATATATGTATATGTGTGTAGAATATGTATATGGAACTATATATACATACATATGTGTGTATGTGTGTGTAGAATATGTATATGGAACTATATATATATACATACACATGTGTGTGTAGAATATGTATATGCAACTATACATACATACACATATATGTATGTGTATACGTATGTATGGAATATGTATGTGCAACTATATATACATCTTTATGTGTGTCTAGACTATGTATATGCAACTATATATACATACATGTGTATGTGTGTGTACATATGTGTGTATAGAATATGTATATGCAACTAAATATACATACATACATGTGTATGTATGTGTATG